CACTCTTTCATTTTCTTTTGAGCGCCATCAAAGTCATAATTCACAAAGATACATGCCAGGAACTCAATGATGGGATCCTTGTAAGAGTACTGCTCTTGTTGGATAACCTTAACGAATTCTTTGAATTGAGGCCTTCTTCTTTTGTTGACAATAAAAGCAGTAGCTAGGTATCGCAGAAGGTGAGGAGCACTTGTTTGGATGGCATTTAGATACCTGAGACATGAAAACAAATCGGCATGCATTTCACGGCTATACTGAATGACAACTTGCAAAAAGAAGCAAATACAGTAGACACTTTCTACATAAAATCTTATCAATTGGTCAAAGTACAATAACAAGCGAAAACCAACTCTCTGGACTGCTAACAATCCATCAAGACACAAGTAATGACTGACTCTAAACAGTTCTACACATATACAATAATACAGGCCAGCTGTTGTACAACCATTATAACTTCACTGAATTTAAATCATGTTCCATGCACTACGATCCGGATCCACATGGAATGTTTCCATGCACTACGATCCGGATCAAGCTCTAATGGAAGTAGTTAGAAGAAGCAAACTTGGGAGAGAAATAGCAGACAGCAGAAATAGAGAAACTCAAATAAAATGACAAACTAAACCAAGGAACTGAAGGGATTATTAGGCTGAGCGAAGTAGACAGGGTATAGAAAGGTACAACTTACTTGTCTTGGTTGAAAAAGTCAATGATCTGAGTCCTTCCATTATCGTTGTTAAAAAAGATGAAGAGACTCCAGTGCATCAACCATATTCTACTCTGCACCTGGTTTAATGGAGATGAGAAACTCTGCAAAGAAAGTGCTTCTCAGACTAAACTCAGATCAATGAGGAAATTAAAGATGCAATCTAGCAAATTTTTAAGAGAAGGTTCAAACGAAGACCTTAGAGTCAATGATTTCTTTAAGGCGGTTGAGTTCTTCAAGTGCGATGTCCCAGTTTTGCATCAATATTTCTGAAGCAAACTTTCCCCACAATGCACTCAGACTTCTTTCACTGTTGGTGCACAAGGTCCTATACTGGTAAAGATAATCAGCAGCCCCCGAGTAGTTCCCACATTCAAACTGAAACTTGGCATACTGGTACAAAGCCTCGATCTGCTCTGGACCAATCTGGTCAGACGAATGCCACATTCGTTAGCTCAACAGACTCTACCGAAGAGAACAAGACATGAAACCAACACCTATAACTCAGTTTAAGAGCAACAGACAATAAACTTAGGAGCCCATTTCGCGTTTGTCAAAATCTTAGACGACAACATTGCCTTAAGGATTAAACCTGAGAATTCTTATGTCAACGACAGAAAAGCTTCAAAGTATGTAAATGTAAACAACATCGACATCCCTTGGTTGCTCACGCACTTCGAAAAGCAGACCACATATAAATCTAACCTGATATCGCTCTTTCAGCATTTGGAGATTGTACTGCTTGTCCGCCCTCAGTTCCTGAACGGCATTAGGGTTCTGAAGAAAAGCCACCAGAGGAGCAGCCGCCTCCTCCAGAGATTTGAGCCTCGCCACAACCTCCGCTCTCCTCTCCACCATATCTACCACCACCATCGGCACAAAACCAACCACATCCCTCAGTAAACAATCGTAAAACCCACATACCCACATTTTCCGAATAGAGCCGGAATATACCTTGGGGAGCGTCGTCGGTGTGGTAGAGGCTCTTGTGGATATCCATGGCGTAGTCTACCATGTTGGTCTTGTTCAAAAGCTCGATCTTCCACTTAAGGATCTGATCATCGGGATACAGCTGACGCTCTTGAAGGAACTCGAGCATGGGAAACACGAGATGCCTGTCCAGGTTTGGCGCGATGCGAGGGGTCAGGTCGTAGTTCGCCATGTTCGCTCCGCTTTCCGCCATCGTCTCCCAGTGAAAAATCTGATCTTTGAGCCCTAATGCGGCGGGGATGGGAATTTCAGAGGAAACGAGGATTGCGGTTTTAGGTTATTTTTCGGTGATGCTTAGAATATTACTTTTCGTATTTCTATGCTTTCCCCTGTAGTTTTCGGAATTTAATATTTGCCCCAAACGTATTAATACGTTCCCCAAGGCACTTTCTTTGTCTTTGCCGATCTTCGTCTGCCGTGAACGGGAAAAGAGAGAGAAAAAAGGAATAAATTGAATTTTGGGACGGAGAAGGGGCGTACATTAACAGCGTCACTTTTCCGGTACATGTTAGCGTCCTTGGGTGCTACCCGCGCAGACTGTATCCACTGCACTCTTCTCTCCCCTTATCCTGCGCACCATCTCCTTTTCCGCTTCGTCCATCGTCTTACCTCTCGTGTCGGATTAGGGCTCCTTCGCAAGACAAAGTTCGTTTATTCATCCATTCTCGAGAGGAGTTCTTTCATGCTCTTAATCAGCTCTAGGGTTTGGACTCACCGGATTCTTTGCTGTGTTTCCCTCCGCCGCTCATGGATCCTTCAAGTAGGCTGTCGAAGGATTCTCCATACTCGAATCTCTTCAATCTCGAGGTCTGTTAGACCTCCATCTGTGGCGATTTTCTTTGAATTTGAAGCTTGTGTTATCTTCTGATGGGTTATTTGTGCTGGATTATCCTGAATTTTTGTGACGATTGTAGTTTTGTTGTTTGCATTCTTGCAATTCTAGAGCTTTTCCGTGTTCCTCTAGTGGGTTACTTTTGCATTTTTGAATTTTTGTTGATGATTTCTTAATTTCCGTGTTTTTTTTTAATTTCCTTTTGTAGCCATTGATCAACTTCAAACTTCCGCAACCTGAGGATGATTTTGATTACTATGGGAGTAGTAGTCAGGATGAAAGCCGAAGCAGTCAAGGTACTCACTTCAAGTTTAGTGGAATTATTTTGTTGCCTACTGTGTGATTTCTATCGACTGACCTGTAAACATAATGGATGTTGATGCGCTAAGGTGGGGCAATGGCAAACCATGGTAATGGTTCTATTTCAGGAATGGAATTGAGCAAGAAAAAGAGAAAGTGGTGGACAGAGGCTGATGATAGGGAGAATGAGGATGACTTTTACCGTCCACAAATTACAGAAGAGCACTATCGATCAATGCTTGGAGAGCATATACAGAAGTCCAGAAAGAGGTCAAAGGAATCTCAACCAAGCCCTGCACATCTAAGAGGAGGTGTTTCATTGCCAAAAAGCAATGTGGGTAGTTACAAGGGTAGGAAACATGGGAATGATTACCGAGGAGGATACTATGATCCTGACACAGCACCCAGTTTAGCAAATGATGTGAGCCCACAAAAGCGGAGAAGTTATCATGATCCAGATATTACTCCCAAGTATGCTTCTAATTCGTTTTCTTGCTTGATTTTATTCCCTGCTAATCGGAAAAAGAATTCGTTGCTTGTGAAAATCCGTCATAATGATATGGTACTGCTGTTCATTGTCCTGAAATATTACGTTTGATATTTGCATTATTTGCAGAATATCATATGAACCTTCTTATTTGGATATCGGTGACGGTGTCATCTATAAAATTCCCCCAAGTTATGACAAGCTGGTGGAATCATTAAACTTACCAAGCTTCTCCGATATACATGTGGAAGAATTTTACCTGAAGGGGACTCTAGATCTGGAGTCATTAGCAGAATTAATGGCCAGTGACAATCAATCTGGACCAAGAGCCCACAATGGAATGGGTGACCCTCGACCTCAATATGAATCTCTTCAAGCTAGAGTGAAGGCCATGTCAGCATCAAACTCCACACCAAAGTTCAGCCTCAAGGTTTCAGAAGCTGCTATCAATTCTGCAATTCCAGAAGGAGCTGCTGGAAATACAGCACGGTCAATTTTGTCAGAGGGTGGTGTTTTGCAGGTGTATTATGTGAAGGTTCTGGAGAAAGGAGATACCTATGAGGTTTGGTTTCTCTGTCAGTTATTCTATTTCAATTTGCATAGGGTTCTGTCGTTCATGTGTTAGGCATTGAATTTACATTCCTTTGTGTTTCCTTTCTGCAGATTATTGAACGGAGTCTGCCTTTAAAGAAGAAGGTGAAGAATGATCCTGCAGTCATTGAAAGAGCAGAAAAGGAGAAAATTGGTAAAGCTTGGATGAACATTGTAAGAAGGGATATTCCCAGACACTATCGAAGTTTCACCACTTTTCATAGGAAGCAATCAATTGATGCAAAGAGGATTGCAGAACTCTGCCAAAGAGAGGTGCTTGTTATTGGTTTTCTCAATAAGCTTTACTTGGTCATTTTGTTTGGTCCTTCACTTTTCTACATGGCAGTCTCTTTAGTTTTTTTTCTTCTAGCCTATATATTTATTAACCATTACTTTGAGTTCACAGGTGAGAATGAAGGTGGGTAGATCATTCAAATTGCCTAGGAGTGCACCAATTCGCACCAGGAAAATGTCAAGAGACATGTTGTTGTTTTGGAAGCGATATGACAAGCAGATGGTAAATTCTCTGCTCAATTTAGTCTCTATGCCACACTTTTAGGAGCAACTTATGGCCATCATTTTGCACTGCACGATATACCCTTTAGATTTGGTTGCGCATTCTGCAGCCAGTTCTTGTTCAGATATACTTCTTTTTCCCAGGCATCATTGTCCTTCAGAAAGGGAATTGAATGTCACTCCCAGCTCATAAGCTTTCACTTTAAATTTGGTCAGCTGGTTTAATTTAATACAAAAGGATCAAGGATGTAGTTGAAACTTGAAACGAAATTAAAGATTAGGCATATTTTTCATTATCTTCAGTTCTCTTGAAGTGTGGGCTTGGATTAATGTGATACTACCTTAACAGGCGGAAGAGAGGAAAAGACAGGAAAGAGAAGCAGCAGAAGCTTTGAAACGTGAACAGGAGCTTCGAGAGGCAAAAAGGCAGCAGCAGAGGCTCAATTTTCTCATTCAACAGACTGAGCTTTACAGTCACTTCATGCAGAACAAAGCCAATTCGAAGCCCTCTGAGGCCCTGTTGGTTGGAGAGGAAAAGCTAGTTGACGAAGATATTCCAAAAACTTTGGAAACTGAGCCTTCAGGCGAGGAAGATCCTGAAGAGACTGAACTGAAAAAAGAGGCTCTGAGAGCTGCCCAAGAGGCGGTATCTAAGCAGAAGAAGTTAACAAATGCTTTTGATTCTGAATGTATGAAGTTACGACAAGCTGTTGACATAGAAGATCCTTCAAATGATATTTCAGTTGCTGGCTCAAGCAATATTGATTTGCATAATCCGTGGGTTTCTTTTTTCTTTTTATTTCCGTATTTCTTTCCCCTGGAATTAGCAGTAGTTAAATTTTATCTCTGTTCTTGCAGATCTACAATGCCTGTTACATCAACAGTTCAGACTCCAGAGTTATTTAAAGGTTCACTTAAAGAGTACCAACTGAAAGGCCTTCAGTGGCTGGTCAATTGTTACGAGCAGGTTAAGTTCAACCTCTTTTTTGCATTTCTTAATTGTCGTTTAGGGCTTTATTCAGAAAATTCTGCTGAGACACTTTTTGTTCTTTTCCTTTGAAGCTTCTCTTAGAATGGAACTATACTAAGATGGTCTCTTCTTATGTTTCAGGGTCTGAATGGCATACTTGCTGATGAAATGGGCTTGGGTAAGACAATTCAAGCCATGGCATTCTTGGCGCATTTGGCCGAGGTAAGTTGAATATTGGGTACTTTTTAATTATGTCTCAGTTGATCTCTTTATGCTAAAATTCATGGATAATCTCGCAGGAAAAACATATTTGGGGCCCATTTCTGGTTGTTGCCCCTGCTTCTGTCTTGAACAATTGGGTTGATGAAATCAGTCGTTTCTGCCCTGACTTGAAAACTCTTCCATATTGGGGAGGACTACAAGAGCGAATAATATTGAGAAAGAATATCAACCCGAAGCGTCTGTATCGAAGGTAACGTTTGAGTTGAATGTTCTAGGATACAAATTTATTTGTTGGGCTTTTTCTGTCTTCTTGTAGCTTGATCTCGTATTCATGTCCTCAAAGTAGCTGTAGTTGTTTATTTGTCATGTGTCACATCTTCTTGTGTATCCCAGACCGAAGCATGTCTGAGAGACACATGTAGAGTTGCTGGGTATTGAGTATAAATTGAAACATTTCATGTAGTGCTAGCATTTATTGACCTAATCAGTTCTTAGATGCTTCACTGCTTTCTGTGGAGACATTCATGTTTTGGTTTCAAAGAATATTCATAGATGGCCTACTATCTTTATTTCTAAAGCTCCTCCACCGACATTCTCTTTTGACAGGGATGCTGGTTTTCATATTTTAATTACCAGCTACCAGCTATTAGTATCGGATGAAAAGTATTTCCGCCGTGTGAAGTGGCAATATATGGTGCTAGATGAGGCCCAAGCAATCAAAAGTTCCACCAGGTTTTTTACTTTTCTCCTGAGTCAGCTGAATTCCTATTCTGTTATTGCTGTTCTTTTAATTGTTTATTTCAGTCTCTAATTCCTTCTACCCTTTTGTTAAACAGTCCCACTGTATGTATGTTGGTCTTTGTTGTTGTAAGACACTTGTTACTATGCATGTGAATGTACTGTTTGTGGATTCCCTTATAGATGCTTTAAGACTAAATTCTAATGTGAATGCCATTGTTCTTTTCCTGTGGACAGCATAAGATGGAAGACCCTTCTTAGTTTTAACTGCCGGAACCGCTTGCTTCTGACCGGTACCCCTATCCAGAATAACATGGCTGAGTTGTGGGCTTTACTGCACTTCATCATGCCGACATTGTTTGACAGTCATGAACAGTTTAACGAGTGGTTCTCAAAAGGGTTTGTAGTATTTTTCTGGTTTACGTTCACGGAAAAGTTTGTAGATAAGATTGCCAGGAAATTGTTTCTTATAAATGATTAATGTTGATTAACAGAATCGAGAATCATGCTGAGCATGGAGGCACTCTGAACGAGCATCAGCTTAACAGATTGGTAAGGTTTCACTTTATGATTACCTCAGTAGCTTCTTTCGCTTTATATGGAGACACCTTATGCTATTGTGGCGTACCATTTTTCTTTGCTATGATTCCCCTGTAGTTTTCTTGCAGAAGTGACTTATTTTACGATCTTACTTTCCTTTTTTCAAGTCGTGAAAGCAGTTGGTTCCATTTCCTTCCCTCCTTTTTGAGAATCCTAACAATATGATGACCTCCATATGTATGCGTACACCATATTGTCTCTATACCTTCAAAAGTGGTTTAGTCGTTCAGACAGTTCTGTTATTTTGTTTCCTTCCCCTTGACAGCATGCAATCTTGAAGCCGTTCATGCTCCGACGAGTAAAAAAAGATGTGATTTCTGAACTAACTAGGAAGACAGAGGTTACTGTGCACTGCAAACTGAGTTCTCGACAGCAAGCCTTCTATCAAGCTATTAAGAATAAAATTTCTCTGGCCGAATTGTTTGATAGTAATCGCGGACACCTTAATGAGAAGAAAATATTGAATTTGATGAATATTGTTATCCAACTCAGGAAGGTAAGCTTTCTGGCTTGGTTATAATTTTTCATGCTTTTTTAAATAATTCTGAAATGTTGAATTAGAAGGTAGAAAAAATAGTACTTCTCAGACAAGAAATATGCAAGATGATGGCCTAATGCAATCTATTTTTTGTTGTCTAATTTTAGGTATGCAACCATCCAGAGTTGTTTGAAAGGAATGAAGGAAGCACATATCTCTATTTTGGTGTGATTCCTAATTCTCTTCTGCCTCCTCCCTTCGGGGAACTAGAAGATATACACCATTCTGGTGGTCAAAATCCCATAACATACGAGGTGCTTTTCAGTAAATTAAATAAGTTCTTAAGTTTGAGAATAAGTAGTCTTTATTGAAATTTGAAGCCCAACTCAGGTATCTATCTTTTTGTTTTTGCTTCCAGATTCCTAAACTGCTCCACCAGGAGGTGCTCCAAAGTTCTGAAACATTTTGTTCTGCAATTAGGCATGGGATATCAAGAGAATCTTTTCTAAAGCAGTTTAATATATTTTCGCCACACTATATTTATCAGTCTATATTCCCACCTGATAGTAGGGTAGATCAGGTAGTTACTAGAAGCGGAATGTTTGGCTTTTCACGCTTTATGGATTTATCACCAGCAGAAGTTGGATATCTGGCTACATGTTCTTCCATGGAAAAGTTATTATTCTCTATTGTGAGATGGGAACGGAAATTTTTAGATGGGATAGTAGACTCACTTATGGAAAACATGGATGATGAGCCTGGTGACGATTATGTCGAGCGAGGAAAAGTCAGAGCCGTCACAAGAATGTTGTTGATGCCATCAAAAATTGAAACTAATTTGCTGAAAAAGAGACTAGCCACAGGGCCGAGTAATGATCCATTTGAAGCATTGGTGATATCTCATGATGATAGACTTCTTTCAAACATCAAACTTCTCCATTCTGCATATACTTTCATCCCGAAAGCTAGAGCTCCACCGGTATGCTTTTTTGTTGGATCTAGTTGCTAAATATTGATGTGGGCGTCTCTTGACTGAAATCATTTTGATTACCCTCTCCTTTTTACTTGCTGTTGCTAGGTGAATGCTCAATGCTCAGACAGAAACTATGCTTACAGAATGACAGAGGGACTACATCAGCCATGGCTTAAGAGGCTATTAGTTGGTTTTGCACGTACATCGAAACATAGTGGACCCAGAGAGCCAGATGGACCTCAACACCCTTTAATCCAAGAGATTGAATCAGAGCTTCCTGTAGTACAGCCTGCGCTTCAGTTGACATACAGAATATTTGGTTCTTGTCCCCCTATTCAAAGTTTTGACCCGGCAAAGTTGCTCACTGTAATACCATTCGTCTCTGTTGCATCTTTTCTATTCAGTGGTTTTATTTGTTAGATCTCTTACCTTAATACCGTTCACTTGTATCCCTAGGACTCAGGGAAGCTTCAGACCCTGGATATATTATTGAAGCGCCTTCGAGCAGAAAATCACAGAGTGCTCTTGTTTGCACAAATGACAAAGATGTTGAACATTCTTGAGGTAGTTTCCGGACAAACCTTTGATGCAACTGTCTTGATGAATGTTTGTCGGGATCTTTTGGATGAATTTATGGTGATACATATTTACTGAGGGTCACATTCTATTATACCTAGCTTTACAAGTTCATTTTTTACGCAGGATTACATGAATTATAGAAAGTACAAGTACCTCAGGCTTGATGGGTCATCCACCATTATGGATCGTCGAGATATGGTTAGAGATTTTCAGCATAGGTGGGGAATTATTTGTTTTGTGGGGTATTATTTGTGAGGCTTTACTTATATGGGCGTGAGGCTTGTTGTTGCAAGTGTCTAACTGCTGGGAATACCTTCTGTGGTTGCAGGAGTGATATTTTTGTATTCTTGCTGAGCACCAGAGCTGGAGGGCTTGGTATTAACTTGACAGCTGCTGACACTGTAATTTTCTACGAAAGTGATTGGAATCCAACCTTGGATTTACAAGCTATGGACAGAGCTCATCGTCTGGGTCAGACAAAAGATGTTAGTGTTTCTCTCTCTTTTTCTTGTTCCTCTAGGCTTCTCTATCACCCTGGGAAAGTGTTTGTCCTTTGACCACCATTTTATCTGTTGCATCAATTTATAACTAAAGTGAACAAACATTTGTTTTTTTTTTTGGATGTCATGGAAGAAGAGGGAGTTGCATAGTTGTCTATCTGTTCCGCAATCTTATGTCTAAAACATCTAACCTGTTTTTTAGGTGACTGTCTATCGGCTGATTTGCAAGGAGACGGTAGAAGAGAAAATTTTGCAAAGGGCAAGTCAGAAAAACACTGTCCAGCAGCTTGTTATGACAGGAGGCCATGTTCAGGGTGATCTCTTGGCACCTGAGGATGTGGTATCATTGCTTCTGGATGATACACAGCTCGAGCAAAAACTCAAAGAACTTCCTCCACAGGTTGGTGCATCATCATCCTTCACATCAATATTTACAAATTTTGAGAGGAAAGGGGAAAAAAAAAGAAACCGGAAATGGCTTCTTTTGGTCTTCCAGGTGAAGGATAGGCAGAGGAGAAAGCAGCCAACGAAAGGTATACGATTAGATGCAGAAGGGGATGCATCTTTAGAGGATCTAACAGAAGCTGCACGACAGGATAACGGGCAAGAACCTCCGCAAGACCCTGAAAAGGCAAAACCCAGTAACAAAAAGGTATTGATCCCGATCTTCCATTTTGCACGATATTGACCGCTAATTGAGGGATTATTCAGAAACGCTTGGATATTATCGTAGTATTACATCGCTTGGATGTTATCTGTTCCTGGCGACTGCTTTCAGAAACACTAGGCACTAGATAGCTTATGAAATTTAGGAAAATCGGTTATTATCTTGTATTTTTTTAGAACTGTCAAAATTTTAGGATGTGATAATATTTGGCCTTCATACGAGATGTTGCAGAGGAAAGCTGCTTCAGACAGGCAAGTAGTAGCTTCGAAACCAACGAATTCTCAGAAAACGACCGAAAATTTCAATATGGAGACAGATGATTCAGTTCAGAATGCAGACTCTCAACCTCAGAGGCCAAAAAGAGCAAAGCGACAAACAAAGAGCACAAATGAGAATTCTGAATCCTTGTTCTCAGCCATGGAGGGTTCGGTCTGAGGAAATATTCCAGCTTAAACTAGGAAGGAAGCCATTTCCTATGGGGGAGATGTTCTTCAAAAGGCAAGAGTGAAGCTCCAGAAGATGTTCTTGAAGAGCAGGATTAGCTACTAGGGCTTCTACTACTTTCAAATCTCGCACGGGACAGACAAGAGGATGGGCGATGCAATTGTTTGTTGTACAGATGTTCATTCAATTTTCAGACTGACCCACTGCTGGAGTGTATATACACACCCTATGTATTATTGTAAAGGCAGAACAATGATAACTGCTGTAAAACAAAAACAAAAATCTCGGATAGCTGACCAAGATTTTGCCAGATACGATCTTTAACAATTTTATTCAAAGGGTGCTAGTCAGACAACATTTTCTATTTCTCTACCTTTAAAGTACATTTTATGTTAGACCAAAGTACGGAAAACACTAGGAAAAGTGACCGAAATGGATCAAGGTACGAATCTATACTTGTTGGAGTCTCATCGTCAAAAGTACACTCGAAGCTTAAAATATGTCCGAGACAAGACAACTCGGAAAAAAAAAACATTACCAAACCACCCACTCACCAACCATTTGTCTTCTTATTTATCGCTACTAAAGTCTGATAGGTGAGGACTTGTAGTGCAGAGAAAGCTCAAGAAACGAGATTAAGGGCTTGGGCATGGTGGCTGATGTGGTCGTCGATGAAAGTGGCCATGAAATAGTAGGAATGGTCATAGCCAGGGTGATAACGCAGTAAGAGCGGCACCTTCACCTTCCTGCATGCCTCTTCGAACTTATGCGGCATCAACTGCTCGTGCAAAAACGTGTCGGCTTCTCCCTGCAAAAGGACTAGAAGCTGAGACTTTCTGACAAGTTTGAAGGGACTGACACTAAGCTCTTATCCATGTAATATCAATAGCAGGACACTTTGTGATTCGTTCGCAAGATTCGTGTTGGAAGGAAATGAAAGACGGATCATTTAACGATAGCTGGGGAACGTAAACCGCAATCAAATTCAAGAGAGACGGGTTTCTCACCTGATCAATGAGAATTGTGGCAGATACATTGTTGAACTTTGAAATAAGACAAGTGGCATCATATTCCTGCAATTCCCAAAACAATGGAGAAGTATCATGAACCGCCAATTGTGGCAAATACATGGTAGATGTATCGTGCATATACTATATACACTCGGGTTTCCTAGAATTTTACCTCCCAATCAGCATTGTTTTCCCCTAGATAATTTGTGAATGCCTTCTGGCCCCATGGGCAATTTGAGGGATTGACAATTGGTGCAAATGCAGAAACAGACTTAACATAGCACATAAACCACAACAACAACAAAATTATAAGAATGATATTATGGGCAAGAAGACACTTGTAAGTTGCAAAGCAATACAAGAAACCAAAAAAAAAAAAAAATCTAACGAATACCTTGTATTTCTCAAGGTTTTTCAGGTATATTGTGAGAGCGCCATGCCCGCCCATGGAGTGACCAAATATAGATGCTCGTGATGTATCTAGCTGGGGAAAGTTTTCACTCAGGAGCTTTGGCAACTCTTTGACGATGTAGTCATACATTTGCCAGTTCTTCCACTTCTCCTGTTTAGCATTAAGGTAGAATCCAGCACCTAGTTGAAAATCAAAGGAAAAAAGAATTAACAGTGAAGAAGAAATCGGTTATCATCCATTATCAAGACAACCCAAATATAGAGCTGCCACAAATCAACCCCACACGTCAAACTTATTCTGGTATATGTGCATTATATAAGAAGAAGAAGAACCAGACTCCTCTGCTTTCCATACCTACACCAAGGTCATAACTGTCTGCCTCACCCTCGATATTTAGCCCCCCTACAAATCCAGTCAACAAAAAGTGGATTTGAAACACAGTTAGATGAATATATCTGAAGATTCGAAGTAGAATGAGTCTGATTTTGCTTGTCGAACATCAAGGTTAACATCCAAAAAACCAAGGAAAGTACGGAATCATAAGAAAAAGGATGATAAACAGGAAGAATCAAACATATGAAAACAGAGGCTCACTTGGAGAAGTGTCCGGAACAACAAGAGCAATGCCATGAGCTGAAGCAGAGCGCTGAGCTCCGGCCTTGGTAATGAAGTTCTCATCTGTGCAGGTTAAGCCAGAAAGCCAGTACAGCACCTGTCAACCCACAAAAATGGAAGGTCGAGAAATTTAACCATTGCAAGCGCTCAAAACTTATAAAGAATCCGTAAAACAAGCGTGCAAAAACGGAAACTTGTTTAGAATCAAGAGCTTTGCATGGAAGAAATCACTAGAATCGCTTACAAACACTAGGTCTCTGGCCAATCGAATGATTAAAACAACATGCCAGCTCCAGAAAAATTGCAAAAACGATTGCTATGAACTTGTTTTCTGAAAATGAAACAACAGGACCCATCACCGTCTTTGGGTTGTACATCAGTGCGATTATCGCCGCAAATGCAACGGATGCAGATAATCGATTGCTTAGCAGCTAAATCCACATCAATTTTGTTTCCTCGCTAAATTAAGAAAACCAGGAGTACCCGGATACAGCCCAACTCAGATTAGCGATGAGATTCTCGTACGAAGTATAAATTATGGGAGATAAAAGACGGAGAGTATCGAGATCACGTTAAATATTAGGCGGATTCCATCTCAAACACAAACCCTTTACGATTTAACATCGAATCTAAGACCAGAAATGAGAGATCGAAGTGAGAGAAAAGGAAAAAAAAGTACAGGGAATTTATGGGAAGGGGAAGGAGGAGGGAAGTAGACGGTGAAGGTCATGGAACAACCAAGAGTGGGACTGTAGTGTTTGTATCTCTTGTTGTAGCCATCGAACATCTTCCAGCTACCGATCTCGCTCGGTCCTGTCTCCATTCTCTCTCTCTCTCTCTCTCTCTCTCTCTCTCTCTCTCTCTCTGGGAAGAAGGAGAAACGATGATAGCAGATAATTCTTTGTAGGTGGATTTGGAAATTACACAAACCTATTACTATAAATAGCTGCAGATTCAGGTGTTTTCGACTACCACCCCGGATGCAAAAGAAACAGCACAGTAAAAAAAACGTATATAATTGCATTTTTGTTGTAAATATACAGGTAGATCCATATTATCTAGTGGAACCCATATTATGCTCTTGAAGAAGTTGACCCTTCTTCACTAGCTGACCCTTTTTCACTATGAAGAAGCTGACCCTTCTTCACTATGAAGAAGTTCCTTATATTTTCTCTATAAATAGATCAGTGTTATAGTTCATTTGTAACATACGAAATACGAAGAACATTCTCTCTCTTCTCTCTATCATACTCTTTCTCTCTCTAGAGCATCTCTCTTGTTTTTCGTCTTTCGTTTTCAACACGTTATCAGCACGAGACTCTGCCGATATAGAGGTAAAAAAGAAAATATCATACAAAAGGTAATGTATGATTCTTCATCCCTATTCATCTTCAATTTCATTATATATAGACCTTGGGAGGCTCAGCCACCGGTCAATGATATATAACTAATTACATATATTTATATTACATTCATATAGACTTCGCGGGCTCAGCCACCAGTCAATGATATGAATGTTTATAAATATTACTATTATTATCATAATGGTTGGCTATGCCACCTGTAAATATCATTATGCATATCTATAAGTATTACTATTATTATCACAATGGTTGGCTATGCCACCTGTAAATATCATTATGCATATCTATAAATATTGCTATTATTATCGTAATGGTTGGCTATGCCACCTAAATATGAATATTATTTCTGTCATTATTTATGTTATTATTTCTGTGATGGATGGCTATGCCACCTTAACTATTTACTTTATGCAATATGGACGGTATTACCGCCTGATAATATATTCATGATTATATCTACTGTTGTTACATATGATACATATGTCGAATTTGGTCAATCTCGAAATCGATGCCCTCGATGTTTATGGCAAAAAAATTATATGATATGGGCATTTGATGTAAAAATGCATCGGAAAGCCGAAAAGATTGTCAAAACAATCGAAAAAGGGCAAGCGACATCTGAAGCTGATAAGGAAAAAGCGATAATATTTCTGCGACGCCATCTTGATGATGCGCCAAAAGATGAATATCGCACGAAAGAGAATCCCGCAGATTTATGGGAATCACTCAAAGATCATTTCGATCATGAGAAATATGTGATCCATCCGAGAGTCAAACATGATTGGCTGGATCTGAGATCCTAAGACTTTAAGTCTTTGCGAGAATATGATTCCGCAATGTTTGAGATAATATATGTTATCGATATGGTATGAACGATCATTGGTCACAGACCTGTCGTATACTGAAACATCTTGTTGAATGATATCAACAATCACGTAAAGATAAAAGGGACAAATACCCAGACAAATTTTTGTATCTGGTGTCCCTGATGATTTCATCAATAAAGAAAGAGATGGAACATATTTGTATATCGCAGATTTCCTTGATCAGCTTGAAGATGGAAAAATGACCAACTAGAGAAAATCGACATGAAGTTTATTATGAATGTTGCATTGTGTATTTTATTTCCAAGTGTGTTTTATACTCTAACGTTCAGTTTCTGTGTTATGTACTATTTCATCTTTATCTTTGTTTTCAGGAATATTTCGTATCTTTCACATTGATCAATTCGACTTGAGATATGTCGAAATTCAAGATCAATGATGGGGATATATGTCTAGCCGATAGTGCTACGACTCATACGATACTTAAAGATGAGAAATACTTCTCTGAGTTGAATATTACTGAATCCAGTGTTAACACAATATCTGGAAATGCGAGAATGATCATGGGCTCAGGAAAAGAACAAGTTTTATAATGCCTAGAGGCACAAAGATTATGATCAATAACGCATTATTCGCTCCAAAGTCTCAAAGAAACTTATTGAGTTTCAAAGATATTCGCCAAAATAATTTTCATATCGAGACTATAAGCGAAGAAAATCGTGAATACCTTTGTATCACGTCAATGATTGCTGGAAAGAAGCATATGATGGAAAAGTTACCATCATTATCCTCTGGATTATACTTCACAAAGATATATATGATTGAATCATATTCTACGATGAATCCACGGTTTGGAGATGTGTTCAAGATTTGGCATGATCGATTGGGTCACCCTGGTTCAATAATGATGCGGAGAATTGTGGAAAGTTCTAATGGTCATCCTTGAAAAATGGAAAGATTTTCCAATCTCATGAACTCACATGTACCGCATGTTCTCAAGAGAAATTGATAATACGACCGTCATCGGTCAAAATCGGAAATAAATTGCCATCATTTTTAGAACGAATACATGGGGATATTTGTGGATCAATACATCCATCGAGTGGACCATTTCGATATTTTATGGTATTGATAGATGCATCAAGTAGATGGTCACATGTTTGTCTATTATCAACCCGTAATATTGCATTCGCGAGGTTTCTTGCTCAAATTACCAAACTACGAGCTCAATTCCCTGATTATCCTATTAAGAAAGTGAGGCTTGATAACGCCGGTGAATTCACTTCTCAAGCTTTCAATTATTATTGTATGTCACTCGAAATTGAGATTGAGCATCCTGTTCCCCATATCGATACACAAAATGGTATGACCGAGTCATTAATTAAACGACTCCAACTTATTGCTCGACCATTGATGATGAAAACAAAACTTCCGATTTCTGTTTGGGGGCATGCCATTTTACATGCTGGAGCACTGATTCAAATTCGACCGAGTGCATATCATAAATATTCTCCAGTGCAATTGGCAACTGGAAATGAGCCAAATATACCTCATATTAGAATATTTGGTTGTGCGGTATATGTACCAATAGCTCCGCCACAACGTACAAAAATGGTCCCACAACGACGATTGGGTATTTACGTTGGATATAATTCACCCTCAATCATTCGATATCTTGAACCACAAACGGATGATATGTTTACAGCTCGTTTTGCTGATTGTCATTTTCGTGAGGATGAATTCCCGACGTTAGGGGGAGGAATGATACAAGCCTCACAAGATTTGACGTGGAAAACAGAATCATTATTATATCTTGATCCTCCTACAAAACAATGTGATCTTGAAGTACAAAAGATCATACATTTGCAAAATGTAGCAAATCGATTGCCAGATGGATTCACAGATACAATACGGGTGACAAAATCATATATACCAGCCGTGAATGTACCCGCTTGGATAGAAATACCAAAGGATCAGGGGGAGAAAAGAATTTCAAATGAGTCTATGGCACAGTTGAAACGTGGAAGACCACCCGGTTCTAAAGATAGAAATCTACGAAAAAGAAAGAAAACTGAGACTGATAATAGTCCTCAGATTGATCCAAAAGAACCGAATGAGGGAAAAGATACTGAATATCAAAATGATGAAAATGGTCTTCAGAATGCAGAAGACAATGAGATTTCTATCAACTACATCCATAATGGAAAGATGTTGGTAAGAAATGAGATAGACGACAGTGATGGAATATTCTCTTTCTTTGTGTCTAAGAAAATCGAAAATGATAGTGAAGATCCAGAACCGATGTCGGTATCTGAATGTCGAAAGAGACATGATTGGATAAAATGGAAAGAAGCTATGGAAGTAGAATTAGACTCATTAAATAAAAGAAAAGTATTTGGATCCATTATCCAAACCCCTGACGGTGTAAAACCAGTTGGATGCAGATGGGTGTTTGTGCGAAAGAGAAACGAAAATAATGAAATTATGAGATATAAAGCACGTCTTGTCGCACAAGGTTTCTCTCAAAGACCTGGAATAGATTATGAGGAAACGTATTCTCCAGTCATGGATGCGATTACGTTCAGATATTTGATAAGTTTGACAACTTCCAAGAATTTGAAAATGTACCTCATGGATGTTGTCACAACATATTTATATGGGTCATTAGAAAATGACATATACATGAAAATTCCTGAAGGATTGAGAATGTCGGGGGCATTAAACTCAAAATCCAAGGAAACGTATACGATCAAATTACAACGATCCTTATACGGATTAAAACAATCTGGATGTATGTGGTATAATCGCTTAAGTGAATGTCTGCTGAAAAAGGGATACGTTAATAACCCCATTTGTCCATGCGTATTCATCCAGAAAACAGCTAGCGGCTTTGCGATTATAGTGGTGTATGTGGATGATCTAAACATAATTGGGACTCCAACGGAAATTGAAAACGCTCGAAGTTATCTCAAAGGAGAATTTGAGATGAAAGATTTGGGACGAACAAAGTTTTGTCTTGGACTACAAATAGAACATCTTCCTAGCGGAATACTTGTTCATCAGTCCAACTATACCAAGAAAATTCTGAGACGTTTTAACATGGATATATCAAATCCGTTGAGCACCCCAATGGTTTGTAGATCCCTAAATGTTGAAAAAGATCTATTTCGCCCTTACGAAGATATCGAGGAGGTACTCGGTCATGAAGTTCCTTATATGAGCGCGATAGGGGCATTGTTATATCTTGTTAACTGTACTCGACCAGATATAGCGTTTGCTACTAATCTTTTAGCGAGATATAGTTCATCTCCAACAAGACGACATTGGAAGGGATCAAACATATCTTTCGTTATTTATAAGGAACAATTTATTTGGGATTATTTTATCCTAAGGATTCGAAACTTGAGCTAACCGGTTTTGCAGACGCAGGTTATTTATCCGACCCTCATAAAACTCGATCACAGACTGGATATGTTTTCACAATTGGAGGTACTGCAATATCCTGGCGTTCTCAGAAACAAACATTGGTTGCAACATCTTCGAATCACGCTGAAGTCATTGCACTTCATGAAGCAAGTAGAGAATGTGTGTGGCTTAGGACTGTAACCCGCCATATACTAGAAACGTGTGGATTACCGATTAATATCGATCCAACGATATTATTCGAAGATAATGTCGCATGTGTTGCTCAAACCAAAGAAGGATACATAAAGAATGATCGAACGAAGCATATTCCTCCGAAGTACTTCTCTTACACTCAAGAGCTCGAAAAGAAGAAGGAAGTTGATATCCGTTATATCCGATCAAGTGACAACGTAGCTGATTTATTCACAAAGGCACTCCCTACTTCAACATTCAAGAAGCATATTCAGAATATTGGAATGCGTCATCTTCGAAGTTTATGAAGAAACGTATTCATATTGATTCAAGGGGGAGATTGTAAGACTGTACTCTTTTTCCCTCGTCATGGTTTTTATCCCACAGGGTTTTTCCATGATAAGGTTTTTAACGAGGCAGTCCATACTAGATGTCTAAGGGGGAGTGTTGTAAATATACAAGTAGACATCTAGTGGGATCCATATTATCTAGTGGAACCTATATTATGCTCTTGAAGAAGTTGACCTTTCTTCACTAGCTGACCCTTCTTCACTACGAAAAAGCTAACCCTTCTTCACTATGAAGAAGTTCCTTATATTTTCTCTATAAATAAGTCAGTGTCATAGTTCATTTGTAACATACGAAATACGAAGAACATTCTCTCTCTTCTCTCTATCATACTCTTTCTCTCTCTAGAGCATCTTTCTTGTTTTTCGTCTTTCGTTTTCAACAATTTTATCATTTTTTATATTAAAAAACAATTATCGCAATTTTGGAAGAAAATATAGAAATTTTTCAATTTTTATCATAAAATCCCAAAAACTTAACATTGTCAGAAATTTAACGAAACACAATCGTAAATTTATCACGTTATCGTAAAAACTAATTTAATAATTAAAAATAAAAAATGATAAATAAAATTTTACAACATACATTTATACATATAAAGACGCGTATACATACATATATTTATACATATGCATACATTCATATATACATAAATATAAAAACGGTTCCGCGAGTTTCTGCCGAGGGGGTTTTAACTTCAGGATTTTTCGGGGATTTACCCTATCAAAAAAGAAAAAAGGGAAAGGGCAAATATGTAAAACTGGGAAGAAAAGGAAATCAATAGAGTTGACCTGAGGAGGCTGCGGCTGTAGAGAGAGAGAGAGTGGCGGCGGAGAGAGAAGGAAACATGTCGGAGCGTCTGCCGGAAACCTTGAAACCCTTCTACGACCGAGCCCTCCAAGCCGATGTATGTCCCCGCTTGACTTCAATGATTCTTTGTTCCAATTCCGCTGGGAGATTTCCAGAAAGGGTTTCTGGATCTTGCTAGCCTGATTTCGGACATAGATTGCGTGAAAAGGGAATTGACAAGGAAGAAACTCCTCGATTCAATATATGACTTATAGGTTGGTTGGTTGGTTGGTTATTTGAAATGCTGGATTTTTTTTATTTTTTATTTTTTTGGACAGGAGAGGTTGGATAGACTCGAAGCTGCTCTTACGAGTAAGACAGGTAAAACAGACAATCATGTTTCCGGTGGCCTTCCTGCAATCTTGGAACCAAAGTGACACTTACTTGTAAGTATCTTCATCTCCTACAGATTCTGGGAACAAAGCCCTTGTGGAGAAGATGGGGGAACTCCAGTCCATGCTAGAACAAGCTAGCACACGTCTTGCTCAAGAACAGCTCAAGGTAATGAATGATAAATGATGGATAGCTGTTCTTCCCTTGTATGTAAGGAGCTTCAGTGATTGATTGTTTTTTCCCCTCCATGGGTGGGGATAGGTCAAGGCATTGACGGTTGAGAAGGAGAAGCAGAACTACAGGGTGGAGCATCTTGTCCGTGCCTTGAGGGCTGCCGACCAGGAGCTTGAAAGGCTTCAAGGTACTTGCGATTATTTCCTATAAAATTATATTATTCACAGTAAATTTTATAATTTCACATTTGTTTTTTTTTTATCTTAACTATATTCCATGATGTTTTTCCTCTCTTTTTTTCCCTCAAGGAATACCGATTCCAAAGATGAATCCAGCCGACATAATAAGATATGAAGATCTGAGCATTACATCTTTGTACCGTAAGTGAGACGTTGTCTTTTTGGCCTCCGAAGATGAGACTACAACGGCCACAACTTGTTTTTTTTTTTTTTTTTTTTTTTTTAAGGAAACGTTGGATGCAGTAATGCACACGTGAGCCTCTGACTCTATGAGAAGTATCGTGTTCTTTCATTCTTTAGTCTGACTGTTACTGCTATGAGCATATCCACCTATATATATATATATATGTTCACAGTAGTGAGAAAACTGCTCATCACCATTCATTCACATGATTCTGCAAAATGCAGAAGCTAGCTAATCATTTTTACCATGTGATGTCAAGCAAACAAAGGGTGTTCTTTTTTTTTTTTTTTGAGATATCTAATGTTAGCTATACCTGGTGGATCCCAAGCCGGTGATCGTCTCAACTCCAGCCTCCAGCAAGGAAGTTCCCGCAGAGAACGGGAAACCCGAAATAATGTACTTACCACTCTGTACAATAATATGTAATGAGGGTTTCAGATAGGGTTTAGACGGCTAATTAGCTGCTGAAGCAGGTCGTTTCTCCTGAGCTTGTAGTAATGCGTCACTTTCAGCGCCTTTGCTATCGCCTTTAAGTCGTTTGTTTTCATCTCATTCAAGTCCCCGCTTGATATCTCTGCTTCACTCAACGTCTGCTTACTGCTTTCGCTTGTCCTCTTCTTCCGATGAACGAAGCATATTCCTCCGAAGTATGCTTTCGCTTGTTCATCGGTTTTTGTTCATCACCTGGATCAGCAATAAGATTCCCTGGTTCACCTTGCCCGTCTTGAGTTATGTTCTGCTTGGTATCTCTGATAAAAGACTTGTTTGGACCCGCATGGTTACTACTGTTGGATTTCTGCTGCGTGCTAGGGTTTTGTTGCAAGCTTGGTAGAACTAGCAGTGCATTGCTCCTTGTCTTTTCCTCTGCTGGCTTCAGAATCAAGTTCTTTATCAGCTCATCGTGTGTACCAGTTCTTCCAGCTCCATGACCTGTTTCGGCCTGTGATCTTTTTTGCTTCTTATCAAGAGGTGTTTCACCGCCTTTATCTTCCCCATCACACATCTCTAAGAGACAATCCATGGTGAAAGGTTCAGTAGCAATTAGGACATTTTGGAGACTGGGAGTTTGGTGATCATCCTTCAGTCTTTCTTCATCTTCTTCTGCAGCCAAAGTCGCAGTATTCATCTTCTCATTGAGAGCATTAGTCTTTTCTCTCAGCCTCTGTCTAGCTTTTGAAACCAGATGCCTTAAACCGGGGCTTCCATCTTTGCTTTTGGCAGCAGGACAGTGGTGTTCACTTGGTTTGTTGAGGCTGCTAGGTTTCAAGTCTGAGGTTTCTGATTGCTGCATACCATTCAGGTGTTTCACCTCATCTCTGCTAATGTTTGTGGCCGAGTCCTCAGCAGTTCTTTTAGGCTGTTAGATGGGAAATGACATATACAGAACAATGAAAACAGTTACATCATGTGAAGGGAACGAAATCCGCAACAGAATCAACAGCAACCTAATCAGACACCAAATCGGTGTAGGCTCATCTCATGGTTATGTTACAGTACCTACCACATGTTAGCATGGATGAACCCCTTTCCTTTCTTCACGTAGTTTCACAGATTGCGCTCCTAACTCACTTAAACAACAAAAGAAAATGAAATGTTACCTTGAGAAGTTCTGCAGTATCTTCTTGTTTTATAGGATCTAGTGTTTTGATGGCATCCAAGGATAAACAAGAATGTTCCTCGACTTCTTTGCTATTGACTGTCGACACCGAACCAGAAGAAATGCTCCCCTTCTCGGTAAAGGGTTCTGTAGATGCATCTATACTAGAGACTTCCACAGCTCCTGCAGGCTGTGCGTGGTTGAAAAGAACAGCATGTTATCGATCTGTCAAGCATATGAACTGAAACTACAATCACTCTAAAGACACCTGGTAGAATTCCAAGCTGCCGACTCATGGGGTTTTAGGATCGCTGAGAAAAAAGGTTACAACCAGGTCCACGGATGCATGATGATTTATCAGAAAATGCGGATAGAAAAGTAGTTTCACACAAACCTGAACTGTTTCTGAGCTGGTTGCTGTCCTCTCACGAAGCTTCGATCTTGTCTCTGGGTCTCTGTCTTCAATGGCGTAACTAGAATCTCTGCTCCCAGCAGTTTGAGCATCACTAAGATTAGAGATGCTTGCTTCCTCATCGATAGCCGATTGTGTGGAACTGGTGTTGGCCTCCGGAACGATAGCATCATGGATCTTTTCCTGTGGAAAACAAAGACAGAACGATTTCCTAATCTACTCGAGAATAAAAATAGTAGAATGCTGAAAACATCATGGCTACTCTTTGAAGGGGGAGATGTTTCCTGACACATAATCTCAGTGCACATATCTCTGGATTGCCATAATTTTCAAGCAAATCCTCCAAAATTTTATGGCTTCGTTCATCAGGGTCCTTTAAGCAACAGGAACCAAATCACATGAATCTTCTAAATTCTTCGAGATTTTCAGAGACTCACCAAAGTAAAAATGAAACTTTATCTTACCACATTGTAGCAAGTATCGTCATTTCGGGGCAAAATCGAAACTTTCTCATGGTTGTCGATTTCAGCATCTTCCTTCTCCATCAATATCCTCAACACTTGCACACAAGATATCTCGTTCAGAGCATTTTCCTCGATCACATCTAGAACCATAGAAAGCAAATCACATCGATTGTTCTCTGAGGAGGCAACACATCGATAATACTACAGAACCATAACAGTACGAGGAAAGCGAAAGGATGGACACGAATCATACCTAATCTACGATCGAAGTAAAATCCGCAACCCCGTACGGTTTGAACGTAGCAACTATCGTTTCCAACATCTGAAACTCAAACCCCAGAGGAAAAAAGCCATCAGTCTCAGACTCTTACTGATCAATAGCAATCCGACCAACTAAACAATCCATCTGAACATGATGATCATAAATCTCCGTAAATTCGAACCTGGACCAGTTGGCGGACCCCAGAGATCAGCATCCATGGTGCGGTCAGAAAATCTAACCTGAAACACGGCATTGTGCCGAAGCAGTCGAAAGAGAGTCAAAACAACTCAAAGCTCACGACATTCGCGGGAGAAATGCCGAAACGGAAGAAGGAAAAAGACAACGCGGGAATATCTCTGGAGCAAGGCAAGAGAGAACCGACAAAAGTAGGGTTACGAAAGACGTACCGGGAAACTCCAGTGGAAAACGAAGGAAGGTGACGACGAGGACACCGAGCTTCATGGAATGATGATCGTCTCCTAGGGTTCCGACGAAAATGGCGAGTGAACAGAGAGAGAGAGAGAGAGAGAGAGAGAGAGAGAGAGAGACGGGGAAGAAAGGGAGAGAAAAAGCCTGACAAAGAAAGCGACGAACACACTGCATGAGAGAGAGAGAGTGTGTGTAAGGCTAAACGGAAGGCAAATGGGGAAATCCGAACGGAGGCGCGTGGAGGGAAAGTAATTCCCGTTCGGGAAATGCGTGGGGACCACGTCCTGATGAGGAAGATCGAATCTTAACCGTCCGATCAGTTGACCGCCGTTTTGACCACGCTGTCATGGGGGGCAAATGTTCCGCTGTGTTGCGGCTCACGGTGCGTGGCAGGGGATGATAGATATCCCGCACCACAGTGGCAGTGTCGTAAATAGGTGTGAACGTAGGGGGGGGGGTCCCACGAAACCTCGGTAATGGTTTCAAACTGACATCCTGAGGGACTGACGCCCGTACAGCGCGTGCTTTCCCCAGGATTTCTGCAAGAGAACATATAATTAATTTCATTTCCAGAAACAATAATAGAGTTCGGTCCGAATGGATCATTTGATGTAATGATGTACGATGGATGGGGTGTTTGGTGCGATAATTATTCGTCGCGTTGCATGGGAAAGGGGAGAGGAAAGAGACCAATCATAGAGACGATCATTGCCAAAGGTAGAAAAAGGAACGGACCATCAGCGGACACGGGTTGCTTGGTAATGGAAAATATTTAGAATTTGCATTCCGAATCTTACCATATGGTATCAGATTTATATAACCATCGCGAGACCCGAATTATGATATCGGGTACTGAAAACGTACTGACATCCAAAATATGTTTACACGAGAAAAAATCATATTTTTTTTATATAAAAACTCGTAATCTCTTCAAAATGCATCGAAATCAACTATAAATAATTTCAAATTCTAAGCATAACCGCAATACAACTTCAACGGTTTCCAAAAATTCATCTAAATACAAAATATATGCATTGAATTCAAATATAAATTAATAATATATATATATATGTATATTGGATTCTTATTAACCTAAATTTTAAACTTTTTCTCCATGTTATTCTCAACTCTGGATACCCGATTTTCGGATATTTATATTTATCCCTACATAACAACGCCAAAACAAATAGGAACGAAAACGATGTGGGAAAAAAAGAACACAAACGTTTACAATTTCATGAGTTAGTGAAGAAATTAAAAAAAAAATATTACGTGCATAATTCGCAACAAGTCTCAAAATTAAACCAAATCCACACCCCAAAATGAAAAAGACAACGTAAACGTATGCCCGTGTTAGATCCTGCTTTACATGTCACGTGATCGCTGGTCGGATAACAAAAATTTTATTATACGGGACCGTTGGTTATTAAGCGGAGGGGGGGCCTGAGGGGAGTGGCTCGTAGCCGTCGTGGCTGCGGCTGGGACGGCGGTTGGAGTCGACCGGGATGAGTTTGAGGAAGACGGCTACGACCATGCTGAAGGCTCCGAGCAAGACACAGAGCAACCACAGCTCCCAGCTTAGAGGAACTGTGCTTGCAAATGTCCCCAGCAACTCCACTATGATCACTTGGAACGTTACAGTTGCGGCCATTACTCCTGTGAACACCCAGCTTTTAAACATCCCTTTGAACACGTTTATCTTCTCTATTTCCCGGCTGTTTACCTCATTGAACACCTGAATTTCCGGTACGAAATGGGTAAAAAAAGGGCTTTCATTTGAAAGAGGAAAAAAAAAGAGCTCGGGTTCTGGAGAGGGTTCGTACCTGGCAAAAGACGAAGGAGTTGAAGATAACGGTGTTGAGGACGGCTGTGGAATCTGGGCCGTCGAGTTTGAGAAGCTTCTTGCCTGAAAAGTTTAGGACGCCGAGGATAATCATCTGATAGATGCCCTGACCGATGATGTTTCTCCACATCGCCTTGGTGATGAAGCTCGCTGTTCTGGCTATCGGAGGACGCTTCATCAATCCATCGTTCGGCGGTTCCGTGGCAAGAGCCAGTGCCCCGAGAGTGTCCATTATCATGTTGACCCATAGAAGCTGCACCGCCGTGAGAGGGGCAGATCCTGAAAAGGGTAACAAAAGGAGGATAAAGTTTCGCACTTTGGAAACCAGATGAATCTGAACATAGTATATAGGTGAAGAATTACACCAATTATGTAAGGATTTTGATAGTGGAAGTGTTTAACATATACCTGTGATGCAAGCAGAGACGAAGTTGATGATCAGAGCCACGACGTTGACGGTCAGCTGGAACTGCACAAACTTCTGAATGTTTATGTACACTGCACGTCCCCATCTGGCAACGTTAACTATCGTCGTGAAGTTATCGTCCATTATGATAACATCTGCATTCTCTTTCGCGACCTGCATATATAGGAAACAGGGAGGAAATGGTTTATATTAACATTCTTGTCGAATTTCCGTTTAATTAATGTGTAAGGGAGATGAAGTAACCTCTGTTCCAGCTATGCCCATTGCAAGCCCGATATCTGCCTCGTGCAATGCAGGCGCATCATTTGTCCCATCACCAGTCACGGCAACAACCTCTCCGATTTTCCTCAAGTTGTTTACCAAAGTATGTTTGTCCAGTGGCAAGGATCGAGCCATCACCTGAGCCAAAACAAGGATGATAGTAAGATTTCATCACATCTTAAGATAACAATTTAGTTCTACTGTCTGCCTACCTGAATTTTCGGTACAATGGCCCTCATTTCGTGAGGAGGCAAATTCCGGAACTCTGAACCTTCCATGGCTAAACCACCCTCGGTAAGTATGCCACATTCTTTTGCAATTGCTTTTGCCGTGCTTATGTTGTCACCAGTCACCATACGAACCGTGATTCCAGCAGCCTGACAGGTCTGAACTGCTTCCCTCACACCCGGACGAACTGGGTCCTTGATCCCGACGATTGCAACCAGTGTGTAGCCACCTTCAGGGATATCCCCACTTGGAGCTTCGTCTAGATCTTTGTAAGCCAAGCAGAGAGTCCTCAGAGCCTCCGAGGCAAATCCCTCTATGACACCAGAGATTTTCCTAACTTGTTCTTCGGATAGCGGGATAGGCTCTCCACTCGAATCCACAACCTTCTCACACATTCTTAATACTATTTCTGATGCACCTTTGCAGAAAGCTCGTACACCGCCTTCGGGAGGAGCTGTAAGAACAGACATTTTCTTCTTGTCCGAGTTAAAAGGCTCGATCTTAAGTATCTTATGTTCCCTTCGTTGCGAGTGAAAGTCACCGCCCAAAAGCAAACCAAATTCTAGTATTGCTCTTTCTGTTGGCGATCCTAGGATTTGAGTGTTTCCCTCCTTATCCGTAACAACTTCAGAACCAGTGTTCTGAAATATGGCCTGCAAGAGGACGCACTGAACTTGTTCAGATAGTTCCAACTCAAAGACATTTCCGGAAGCTTCCTGCCTTGCCTGAATATTTTCGCATACCCAAACTTTGTTGACAACCATGTGGTTAGTGGTTAATGTCCCCGTCTTATCGGTGCAGATGCAAGTAGCAGAACCCATTGTCTCACAGGCAGCCAGATGCCTCACAAGTGCCCTGTCACTCATCAACTTCTTCATAGCAAATGCCAGACTCAATGTCACGGCCAATGGTAAGCCCTCGGGTACAGCCACAACGATAATAGTTACAGCAATTGCAAAGTAATCGAGTAGAGTCAACGCATCTTCTGATGACCATTTCATCAAGTCACCTTCTCTGGCTTTCTGCACTACAAACCTTACACACAGAACCACAAAGGTAAGCACTGCAAAGCTTAAACCAATTTTACCGATGATAGTGGCAACTCCATTTAGCTTCACTTGCAGAGGGGTCTCGTCTTCTCCACCCTCGCTTAAGGTTTCCATCAACTTTCCCCACTCGGTTCTCATACCCACAGTTGTCACCAGCATCTTTGCAGAACCATTTTGAACTTTGGTTCCCGAAAGCAAAAAGGGCTTAACTTTATTCACGTGTGATGGCTCACTCTCCCCTGATAAGCTTGATTCGTCTATCTCCAAGTTGTATCCAGAAATGAAGATCCCATCAGCAGGA